GAACAGAGTTCCTACAAGATATTAAGAATTATTCTAAGGCTATAGTAAATAAGACAAGGCAGTATTAACTCAAGGATATGAAAATAGACCAATGGAACAGAACAGAGTCCAGAAACAGACTCACACATAGATGAGCTCTGGGTATATGTCAGAGGTGGCCTCACAGAGCAGTGAGGAAAGGACGGTCCCTTCAACAAATGCTGCTGGGGTAATTGGACATCCACACAGAAGAACTAGAACTGGACCCTTACCTCACACCATATAGAAATAAATGCCTTTTGTTGCCTGTGTTTTGGTGTCATATCCATGAAATCATTGTCAAATCCAATGTCGTGAAGCTTTTCCTCTTACGGTTTCTTCTAGGAGGTTTATAGCTTCAGGTCTTATGTTTAAGTCCTTAATCCATTTTGAGTTGATTTTTGTGTATGGTGTAAGATAAGGGTCCACTTTCACTCTTTTGCACGTGGATATCCAATTTTCCCAACATGTGTGCTGAAGAGATATCCTTTCCCCATTGTGTATTCTTGGTGTCCTTGCTGGAGATCAGTTGGCTGTATAAGCAAAGCACAGGCAACAAAAGTGAAAACAAGTTACATCATGCTAAAAAGCTTCTACACAGCAAATGAAACAATCAATAAAGTGAAAAGGCAACCTATGGAGAGGGAGAGAATGTTTGAAAACCATAAATCTGAGAAGGGGTTATTTTCCAAAACAATAAGGAGCTCCTACAACTCAATATCAAAAAACAAATAACCCAATTAGAAAATGGGCTGAGGACTTGAACAGACTTGTCTCCAAGGAAGATATACAAATGGCCAACAGGTATATGAAAAGATGCTCAACATCACTATTCGTCAGAGAAATGCAAGACAAAACTGTGAGCTAGCACCTCACACCTGTTAGAATGGCTATTATCAAAAAAACAAAAGACACAAGTGTTGGTGAGGATGTGGAGGAACTGGAACCCTTGTCTACTGTAGGTGAGAATGCAAATGGTGCAGCCACTATGGAAACAGCATGGGAATTCCTCAAAAGAAAACTCAAAAATAGTACTACCATATGATCTATGTGGCTTTTCAATTAAGCAAGTGATTACTAATTCAATTAATCTACTGATGACTGCAACATTGTTGATAATCATGAAACACTATCAGAAGACAACACAAGTGGAGCGATGACCATGTAAATGTCACAGAGCAGGTAACAAAACCAGAGAGGGTGAAAAACTCGACATACACAGCAGGGAGACAGGCAGAGTCAGAGGAAAGGCTGGAGAGACAGGCCCCAAATTTTAAGAGGTTGGAGGGAGGGACTGTGGGAGTGCTCTTTTTTTCTTTTTAAAAAATGATTTCTTTATTTTGCTAATGTTAAAGACAATAACCAAATATTGTCATGAAGGAAGAAGTTTATACTCACAGATCCCTAGAAGCAGGAGGCACAGCCTGCCACACAGGGCCACGTGGGGAAGCACCAGGGTCGTTCATGAGGCAGAGGGAACCAGGGGGAAAACATGGGCAGATGCCTTTATGGTAGTGTCTGTGGGCAAGGCAGGGCAGGGTAAGCAGGCTTAGGATGGGCTAGTTTGAGTAATTTCAGTGGGCTCTGGAGGGTAGGCCTTGGGGTGAGTAGGGCAGGTAGACTGTGGCTGGAGTGTAACAGTCGTGTGAAAGCCCATGAAGGAGGTGGTTTAGAGCCAAGGCTCTGGATTGGTCGGTTTGCACAGGAAAGGCGAGCTCTCAGCTGAGCTGGTTGCTATCTCTAGGAATCAGCTAGCCCTGGGAGGGGCAGTCTCTCCAGGATCAGCAAGGCCCCATGTGGCAAAGCATCAGAAAATAGAGAAAATGAAAAGGCATGATTCAGACAGAAGCACCGGCGGAGAGGTAGGAATGAGGTTTGAGGGGGGTGGAGAGACAGTGAAACGGCAGCTTCTGCCAGGGGCCCGGCTCATAGACAGTGACAGCAACTGGGGGCTGCTAGGACCGTGCTTCAGTGCTCTCTCAGCTAGGAATTGCTGAACAGCACACACCCACCTGAAGGTGGTGGCAGAGGTGTTGTGTTGGTCTGGGCAACTCCAAGAAGCAGAAGCCAATGTAGGACTAAGGTGCAAGATTTTTATGAGAGTGAGAGGAACTGGGGAGGGGGCACAGAGAGGCTGGGAAAGCTGTTATGCCCCATCAAGTCTGACTCTGAGTGAAGGAAAGATAGAAGGAAAGTTGGTTTTGCACCCTAGAGAAGGTTCAGTAAGGCCAATGGGGAGTCCTTTAGTCAACATCACCTGTCGGAAGGGCCCCATGTCTCCCAGGAAAGCGGCTGCCTTATTGTCCCTGCCACACTCAGTCATTGGCATGGTGGCTTTGGCATAAACGTGTAGATGGATTTGAGAGCGCAGCCACTGGGGCTCTCGGTCAATGATGTTCCCACTAGTTGGAACTCTGCTAGGTACATTCTCATGGTCACCAGAGCTGGGAAACATAAAATTCTGTCACCGAAGATGCGTCAAGGCCATACGGCAGTGATGAAGAACGTGAGCTTCAGAGCAAGAAGGACTAGGGTTCAAGTTCAGACTCTGTTTCTCACTAGCCAGGTGACCCTGAGCAAGTGCCCTAACCTCAATTTATTATGATGGGAGTATTAATAAAACGCATCTGACAGGGATGCTGGGGGATGCAAAGGAGGAATAGTCATGTGGACAAGCCCTAGACTGTTTGCCAGCCACTCAGGAGACCAATGACTCGGGTGATGAGAGCATGCTCGGTCCTTTTGTGAGTGTTTATGGGAGTTTTGATATTTTGGAGTCTTGTAAATGAAATGCTGTTTCTTGGTACCAAGGACAGTGTGACAGTGTGACAAGGTGCATCAGTATAGCCTATTCTTTAAGCCAGTGATTCACCTTCTAGGGCAGAGCCGACAATAGAAATATAACGCAAGCCACAGGTGTAATTTCACATTTTCTAGTAGACATGTTAAAAAAGTAAAAAGAAATAGATGAAATTCACTGTGACTTAACTCAGTATCTCAAAAAATTGTCATTTTAACATGCAATCAGTATAAAAAATGGTCAGGTGTCAAGAGTGCGACATCCTTTTTTCTTATTGTAAAAAGTGTTTGAAACCCAGTAGGTATTTTATGCTTACAGGGCACCTCCATTTGGACCAGCTACTTTTTGAGGGCTCAACAGCCACATGTAACTGGTGACTACTGGATTAGACAGGGCAGTTGTAAAACTTTCCCTGGATAAATAATCAGAGATGTGGACAAAGGATGAACCAAAGATGCTCGTCTCAGCATTGCTTGTAACTGAAAATTGGAAGGATCCTGAACTATCCAATATTGAAACATTCCACACAAATGCCAGCTCCATAGGCAGGGTCTTGGGGGATTTTTGTCTGTTTTGTTCATCCTCGTGCTCCTAGTGCCCAGAACAATGCTTGGCACATAGTTTGTGCTCAATAAATATTTTTAGCTGAATCAGTGAGTACACACACACACACACACACACACACACAGAGCACACAAATATACTTCTTGGCAATGCGCCCTGCAGTTAATTAACACCCAACAAATGGTATCTGCTATTATTTTTATTGTTATTGATAATAAATTGGACCATAACCCTCCCACCAGGTACACAGAAGGAAGTCAAGGCTGGGGTTCAGTCTTTTGTCTAAATCTGTCCTGTTGTCTCTCAGAGAAGATTGTCACAGAATAGGCTGTGGCGGGGCAGGGGTGGTGGGGAATGCTCTCTATGGAAGGTGAGAAAGCATGGAATAGCAGGAAGGGGGATCAGGAGACATGGATTCTGGTCCTGGGATTGAAACGAATCACTGCCGATGAAGGCCCCACCCCTGCAAATGAGGGGACTGGCCCAGACGCCTCTGTAACTCTTTCCCCTAAGATGCACTGGCGTTCAGAGGATGGTGCACGTCCAGCTCTCTTCTGCCTAGGGAGTGGGGAAGTCCTCGCTGTCTTATTGAAGCTGAAAAGGTAAAGCACACGATCACATCGGAGAGCTGGCACTGGGTCCCGGAGAGCATTTAGGGGGACACTGTGACATGCCACTTGGATCCCCCTCAAGGAAGGACAAGCAAGCCCCAGCTGCTGGGAGGTGGTCAGCAGACAGACTCCAGCCGTCAGCCCCTTTAGGGCTGCCTCGGCTGCAGAGAGCCCCGCGCTCAAGGCCACGCCCCTTCCTGAGCCGCCCCGGTTCAGTGACTGGTCCATGTGGGCTATACAGGCCTGGCCAGCTCAGTCTGCTGCAGGTCAGCTCCCAGAGGGTGGGCTGGGACTGTCATTGGGCTGCGTCCCAGCTGGACGTTTCCCTGTGCTGCCCGCTCCTGCTTCTTCCCCTCCATTCCACGGGTGTTGACGCCAGTGGATACCCCGCAAACATCCTGCACGCTAACCCTCCCGGGGACCCACCTATGACATCATCACCCCTCCCCCGCATGAGAAAGACCCCCACCCGGGGAGTGGAAAGACCCAAGTTTGAGTCCTGCTGCCCCGAATTAGCTGTGTGACACGCCCATGTCACTCAGCTGCTCTGAGTCTCCCATTTGTCACATAAATAGGGGGACACGAGGCAGACTGTTGGGCATAGTGGAATGAGTACTGGTGTTGGAGTCCACCAAGTTTGAATCCCAGCTCTGCCACTCCCTAGCTGAGTGTCCTTGAGCAGGTGACGTCACCTCTCTGAGCCTCCTTTACTCATCTGGGAGACGGGAGTAGGAAACACACCTCACAGGGTGTTGTGCGGATTCCATGAAACAACGTATGTTAAGGGGCTGAGGCCAGAACCTGCGCCCAAAGCAGATATTCAATCTGCGGTGGTTGTTATTGTTTAGTATTGTTATCAGTGGGGTGAGCCAAGTGCAGCTCTTAAGAGTTACCCCCAGGCAAGGTGACATTAATTAAAGAACGAACTCTGGACAAGGGAGGTGAAAATTCCAGGAACCCTCTGAATGGGGTGAAAATGCCTGTAAAGTAGGAAGCACAGCCTGAAACTATGAACGTGAGTGGCCTCCGGCAAGAAGCAATTTCTTTGGAAGGAATGGTCTCCAGCTAATGCTGCGTGGAGCGGGTGGGAAGGGGGACAGGGAGGAAGCAGAAGGTCTCACCGGCACATTCCAGGAGCCTACTGGAGACCCATCCCCTTTCTTAAAGCACGCGGAATCCAGCCAGGCTCTAGCCTCTTGTGCCAGCCGCTGCCAGCCAGATGGGTTTCCACCACCAACGTTTCCTGTAGGGTCAGCCGGGTCCAGAATCACAGGCCTGAAGAGTGACAGTTAGAGGGACAGGTGAGGAGCTGAGCTGCATCTGAGGAGTGTAGATGTTCCTGCAGAGCAAACACCAGCCTGGGGCAGGCTGGGACTTGGGGCAGGAGGACGGGCCCAGCAGGGCGCTGTTGCCCAGGGTGTGTCCTGAGTGCCCTGCACCATGGTGGGCAGCGAGCACGAGGAGAAGGAGCCTTGCACTTGGGCCTGGAGACCGGGGTTTGAATCTTACCTCGGCCCTTTATTAGTGGTGTTCCTTTGGGCGGGTCACTTGACCTCTCTAAGCCTCAGTTTCCTCATCTGTGAAATGGGGAGGCTTGAACACACCCACCTCAAAGGATGTGGTATGAGGACTGAGACAAAGCATGTGAATGCCCAGCACAGCCATTTCAGCGGTGTCTTGCATTTTCTGTTAAGGTTTGGACAAGCGCCTTACCTGTCAGAACCTCGGTTTACGCATCTGTCAAGGGGTGAGCATAGTGCCTGACTCACAGGGCTGGAGGCTGTGGTTTAAATCAGATGGCAGTAGTAACGTGCCCAGCACAATGATTGGCAACAGAAGATCATCCATAAATGTGGAGCCCTCCCACTTCCTCCATTTCAGGCGCCACGTCTGTATCTGGGGGTTCACTGATGTGGAGAGCTAATCCACGAAGGGGAGAGAGTACCTGCGTTTCCTGAGCTTTCTGCGCAGGTATTTTTTAATAACAGGGTCATCAAAGTTGTAGTACTTTGTCCAGTAGATACACAGCTGCTGGTGCTTCAGGACTAACTCCAAGACGGTCTGAAATCCCTGAGCCGTGTTGAATTCTGTTTGCCTACTTCCTTGCTCCCAAGCGTAGACTGTCAGGAGCTCCAGGGCATACTGTGGTGGCAGTGGCTTCCCACAATTCTCCTTACACTGAGAAGAGGAAAAACAGTCAGACAAATGGGCTTGTCCGGCCTTCGTGTACAGCACATTTCCCACGGGCAAAATCCAGCCTGCCACCCGTTTTTGTAAGTAATGTTTTCTGGGAGCAAAGTCACACCATTCATTTACGTGTGGTCGATGGTGCTTTTCATGCTACAAAGACAGAGTTGAGTAGTTGTGTCAGAGACCATGTGGCCCACAAGGTCTAAAGTATTTACTCCCTCGCCCTTTACAGAAAATGTTCACTGACCTCTGGTTAAGGGCTTGGGCTCATAGGCAAATGCAAAGGGCCAGGGCTGGAGGAGGGCTTCCCTCTTGGAGGAATAAGGAGGAGACCAGCATGGCCTGGGGGAGAGGCGAGGGGGCAGAGGTGGGGGTTCAGAGAGGTGGGGGGCAGAGCCTGTGAGCCTCGCCAGATGACTCAGAGCAGGGTGAGAGTGACAGGTGGTGACGATTGATGAATTACGGATATATTGCAAATACAGGACCAACATCATTTGCTGACTGGTTGGATGGAGGTGTGTGTGTGAAAAAGTCAGGGAAGACCCCTGGTTTGGGCCAGAGTAACTGGAAGGATGAATTTGCCCTTTGCCCTCCCTCTCCCACCTCCTCCTCCTCCTCTCCCCCCCACGTGACAGGAGGGCCACACCTTTTGGTACCAGTGCTTGACCAGGCGGATGAGGCTCTTAAGCTTGGGTGGACACCGCCTCAGGAAGGCTCGCTGCAGCTCTGTGAAGCAGGGGGAGAACTCACCCGCTTTCCCCAGGTGCTTGCACTCTTTGATGAGCTGGACGTAGATTTCAGGGTCAGGCATGCAGTCTGTGGTCACCTGACCTGTTAGGGACGAATCCAAAACTTGAAGATGACAGCAGTTCTCTGAGGATCCTTCAGTCTCTCTGGGGAGACAAGCTCACTGGCCGTGGGCGCAGCGCAAAGGGCCGCAGGCTCAGAGCCGGGAGGCCTGAGGTCCATCCGCAGTCCTCCCTTCTTCCACCTCCTCTGCCATCGCCTGGTCCAAGCTGCCGTCATCTCTCACCCGGACTATGGCAGAGCCTCCTCGCAGGTTCCTCCACAGCCCGTTCTCAACCCAGCACCCAATACAGGACATGGCAGCAAGGAGAGATCCCCGACCTGTCTCATCTCCCAGTGCCTTTAGAGTTTCAGTATTTTTCTCACGGGTCCCCTAAGCCAAAAGGAATTCCTAACAGTTCCATTTAAGTAGATCAGTCCATGCAACTGAATAGCAGTAGCGTGCGTGGTGTCCCACAGATGTCGCTGTTTCCCACAAAAAACTGAAAATCAAAACCATCCCGTGCACCACGTGAGTTCACTGCAGTCTCCCGAGGTGCCTGGTGCACAGCTGGGGAACTCACGTTTTTGAACCCCTGCTATGTGCCGCGCCCCGTGTAAGAGCTTAACGTAGATGATCACTTAATACTTAAAATAATAGTGTGACCTAGGTAGTGTGGTTTATCAGTTTTCCTAA